GGTGGGGCCAGCTGAGGGGTGGGGCTGCGGGCCAATCAAGGTGGGGGGGTGCACCAGGGATGCAGCCAGCCAGGGGGGAGGGGCTGCAGGAGGTTGGCTGGCTGGTCCTGTCCCCTATTGGAGTAGGGGGAGAGGGTGATCAGGGGCAGGGCTGGATGAGGAGGGGCTGCAGGCCTATTGGGGTGGGGCAGGCTAATCAGAGGTGAGCCCAGCTGGGGGAAGGGACCACGGGAGGTTGGCCAGCCGGCTCCATCCCTGATTGGACTGGTTTGCTGGCCGCAGTGGGCATCATAGCGACTGGTTGTTCAGATCATTACAATGTTCCAGTCACTGGCTTTTTATATATATACTAGAGGCCCGGTGCACAACAATTTGTGCACTCGGGGAAGGGGGAGGTCCCTCAGGCCGGCCTGTGCCCTCTCGCAGTCTTGGACCCCTCGGGGGATGTTCGGCTTGTTTCGTTCCCGCCTCCCTCAGCCCCCGGCCCAGGTTGTTCATTCTGCCTCCCTCAGCCTCCCGGCCCAGATTGATTGTTCCTGCCTCCCTCAGCCCCCGGCCCAGGTTGTTCATTCCGCCTCCCTCAGCCGCCCAGCCAGCTTGTTTGTTCCCACCTCCCTCAGCCGCCCAGCCCAGGTTGATCGTTCCCGCCTCCCTCAGCCGCCGGCTGGCTTGTTTTGCTCCCACCTCTGCCGCCCAGCTTGTTTTCCGCTGCCTGGCTTGCTACGCTCCCAGCTGATATATGCAAATTAACTGCCATCTTGGCTGGCAGTTAATTTGCATATCTCGCTGATTAGCCAATGGGAAGGGTAGCGGAGGTACGGCTAATTACCACGTTCCTCTATTATTAGATAGGATCAGGTAGATCACTGAAAACAGTGAGGTGATGAAGCTTCTGTAGAAAATTTAACAGAATAGAGATGGACTAGGTCCTGTTGCAGCAATTCAAACATACTGAAGTTTTCTGAGTGCTTCATCATTTTTCTTCCTATGTATCTATGATTCTTTTTCTGTCTAGATTGTTTCAGATTCAAATCCCATCTCATTTCAGACACATTCTCTTCCTTCTCTCATATTTTAAGCAATCACCTCATTCAATATGTAACCTTTTAACCTTTCAATATATAGTGAAGATGTTGGAATTCCAATATGTATGCTTATTGATTGTATATCTGTGAATACATATTATGCATATGTGTGTGCTAGCCTCAAAGACTTTCTCATTTGATTTTCAGACCTCAGATTCTGCTCATGTTCAGAGTCATGCATATGGCACGGAGATAGTGGGAAGAATTTCTCCTCCCTGATATGTGACAATGAGAAAAATGGCAATAGAACTCAGGTCTGTGTTATGATTTATGGTATGTCTATATACATTTCCTGGTATTGTTAAGGTACAGGTAAGAAGAATTTGAGTGGCAATATTAATCCTTGGCTATTCCTAATGAATGGCCTTTATGCCCTTTCTGTGTGCCCCTTCCCTCTGAGTGGAGTCATTGGAGAATTCCTATACCACAGGTTCAAATAGCAAGGACATATAATTATTAGACTTACCAGTCCATGAAACATATCATAGCAGGTAAGTAATGGATATGTATTTCTTTGGTATTTCTTATTCCCTGTGATTATTGGTTCTTATAGAACCAGAGTGTAATGACTTAGTTTCAGTTGTGAGGCATAATTTAATGGACTATTGATACAACTTAAATCATGGGATTCTCTTTCTCCTTTGAACTGTTGTACACTGATGAAAATTTATAGTCCTGACTAATCCATTTGGTATAATCATATAAATCATTTATCTATTTTCACATGTTACAGCCCTACTTAGTGTTATTAAAGTCAAAATACAGATAAATCGATAAAGTTACTGCAATACTCATGATTATTTTGCTGTTATTTTATTAATATTTGAGTGTCAAAAAAATACCAAATTCCTAACTATGGAATGCTAGAACCCTTACTATCCCAGCACACTCACTTGTTTAATTTGCTGTAATATATAGCATGCTCCAGCCCAACAGATCTTGTTATCAGCATGAACTTGAATTTAGTTCATGTCTCTGTGATTTTTGCCCTTTATGATTTTACTAGAGGCTCGACACACAAAATTTATGCATGGATATGGTCCCTAGGCCTGGCCTGTGATCAGCACCATCTTCCCCAACTTCCTGCAGCCGGCCCCACCCCCCGCCGCCACCCACCCCCAGTTCCCTGTTCACAATTGGGCAATCGGAGCCTGATGGCTGGGGGATGGGCCCGAGAGGTCAGCCATTCCTGCCCGCTTGCTGGCCCCGTCCCCACCGTGGGTTGCCCTCTGTGTTTGGGGCAACTAGTGGGGTGGGGGCCTTGGCATGGTGCCACCCCTGTCCCCTGCCACCCACTCCTGGTTTCCCGTTTGCCATTGGGTGATTGAAGTCTGTTGGCTGGGGAAAGGGACCAAGAGGTGGTCAGTGCACCTCATAGTGACTGGTCGAGCGGTCATCTGGTTGTTCCATCGTTAGGGTCAATTTTCATATTACCCTTTTATTATATAGGATAGAAGCTCAGTTCAATCTGGGTGCAGGCTGGCCAGCCTGTCCTGATGGGGGCCCTAGATCAGAGTGGGGGTCCCCGCTGGGGGGCAGGGATGGCTGGGGTGAGGGGCTATGGTGGGTTTGCAGGCCGGCCACACCCCCGATAGGGGTGAGGGTCCCCCCTGGAGCCAGCTGGGGTGAAAGGCCATGGGTGGTTTGCCAGCTGGTCCTGCCCCCAATCAGGGTGGAGGGTCCCTGCTGGAGGGCGAGGTGAGGGGCCGCGGTGGTTCTGGTCTCTGGTCATTCTGCTCATTCTGCCGTTTTGGTTGCTGGGCTTTTATTATATAGAATAGGATTACCTGAACCAGAGGCCCGGTGCATGAAATTGGTGCACAGGTGAGGTCTCGAGGCCTGGCCGGCAATCAGGGCTGATCTTAGCCAGGCCAATCAGGAGCGGGCTGGAGAGAAGGCGATGGTTGCGGGGCTGGGCGTGGAAGGAATGGACATCAGCCATTGCCACCACCATTGTTGGCACCCTGCCATCACGTGGTTCCCCACCTCCCCCCTCCTCCTTCCCTCACCTCCACGCCACCACCGCAGCTGGCAGGAGGTGGGCTGATCAGGGCCTGCAAGCTTGGGGGAGGGACAGGGCACAGGAGGTTGGCCACCGGCCCCAAGGAGGGAGCTGGCCCTCAGACCCTCTGGGAAAGGGGCTGCATCTGTTGCCACCCACCCTTAGTTCCTTGTCTCAGCCTGGGGCCTGCCGGTGGAGGGGGAGAGACCAAAAGAGGTTGGCCGGCCAGGGGGAGGGACCATGGGATGTTGGCCGGCCAGGGAAGGTTGTCTGTGGGAGCACACTGACCACCAGGGGGCAGCTCCTGGGTTGAGTGTGGTCAGTGAATGTCATAGCGACTGGTCGTTCCAGTCGTTCCGGTTGCTTAGGCTTTTGTATATAGATAGATAGATAATCATTTTTGTTGTTGTTGTTAATCCTTACCCAAGGATATATTTTCCATTGATATCTTTTAAAAGAGAATGGAAGGAACAGAGAGGAAGGGAGGGTGGGAGAATGAAAGAGATTGAAAGAGAAATGTTGATGTGAGAGAGAAACATTAGTTGGTTACCTCCTGCACATGCCCTGACCAGGGAGGGGGCTCTAACTTGCAACCCAGTTACATGCTCTTGACCAGCAATCAAACCAGAGACCCTTTGGTGCATGGCTGACACACTAACCACTTAGCAACATTGGCCAGGGCATTGACTGAATCATTATTTTGTCCCTTTTGAATCTGATTAACCCAACTCTATTTTCAAATTTTAACTTTGTTGCTTCCTTGGAAATTTACTTCCATCACAGCAGGCTCAATTAGTGGCCTTCTCTTTCATAGTCCCACATCACTATTTTTTAGTCAATAGCTACAAATGTGTCTGTTTTGTTAGACTTTTAGCTCCATAAAGATAAAAAATGTCTTATTCATTTTGTATATCCATTTGAGAACACTTTAAGCCTGGCCGAAGTATAATGTTTCTTCAATAGCTTGATTTTAAAAAAAAACTGTGCTGTTTTTTCTATAAGATTGTACTTAGAATATCAAAGGGGAGACATTTCATTGTTTTAACATATTATTTTTAATAATTTACTTTATTAAAAAGAGAAACATCTCAATTAGAGAAAAATTAATAAATTGTTAAGAAATTAAGAAAAATTAAGAGATAAAATTGTTTTTTAGACTAAAATTTATTAGATATGAGGTATGAAGGAAAGGGAGCAGACTATGATAATTTTAAATTTTCTATCTTCTTTTTTGTTTGTTTGTTTTGTTAATCTTTACCTGAGGATATTTTTTCATTGATTTTTTAGAAAGGGTGAAAGGAATAAAGAGAAGGAGAGAAGGAGGGAGAGAGAGAGAGAAACATCCATGTGAGAGAAATGCATTAATTGGTTGCCTTCTGCACGTGCCCACACTGGGGTGGGGATCAACCTGCAACCCAGATACCTGCCCTTGACTGGGAATCAAACCCATACCCTTCAGAGCATAGGCTGACACTCTAACCACTAAACAGTACTGGCCAGGTCTTAAGTTTTTTTTTATCTCAAATTTATACATAAGAAAACAATAATCTGGTATATGTGTGGTATTTTTATGTTTGGAACTGATATCGAGTGTAAACTTTAATATGTCAAATTTATGTGAGAATCACATGAATATAATGTAATTTTGCTTGGAAATGAATGGGGCGTGACTGTAATGGAGAATTTTTTAAAAATTATCTACTCATAATTTTACTGAACATTAATTACTTACCAAACATTTACCAATGATTACCATGTTCTTTTCATTGGGAATGCCAGAGGAATAAAGTACTGATCCCCATTATCAAGGGGTATTTGAACATGGTAAGGAACATTTTGTTTAATAAAAAAATCAATAGACTGGGTGACAACATCCAAAATGAACTGAGAAAAGGAGAAGCCACAGGGTAGAATCCTATAGATCCATACCACATATGGGGCAGGAAAATAGGAAAACCAGTACAAGCATTTAAAAATAAACGATTAAAAAAATAGGGAGAAAAAAGAAGGCACGATCCAATGGAAGCTGATAATTAAAAAAAAGGGGGGACAGTTTAAAGAATAATTTAATCAATGGTGGAAATACCTCAAAAAAAGTTAAATAATACACAAATGATGGCAAATACTATATACTACATGCCTATAATGAGCCACAAAAACTAAAAAAGACCTTTCTAGCTAATGTTTTATTTGACCTTAAAACAGTCTAAGATGTAAGTATCGTTATCCCTAAATTTTAGATCAGGAAACTAAAGTTCATAGAGAATAAGTAAATTCCTTAAGGTCACATGAGTAATAAGCACCAGAATGCAGGCTCAAATCCTAGCCTACCTATTTTCTTTTATATATATTCATTCCAGAGAAGAAGGGAGAGGGAGAGAGGGATTGAAACATTAATGATGAGAGAAAATCATTGATCTGCTGTCTCCTAGATGCCCCCTACTGTGGATCAAACCTGCAAACTCAGCATGTGCCCTGACTGGGAATCAAACCTTGACCTCTTGGTTTATAGGTCAACTCTTAACCACTGAGCAACATGGGCTTCTAGTCTGCCTATTTTCAAAGCCTAAGGTATAGCTAAAAAATAAAGTCTTAGTTAACAATTAATAGATGTCTCTGGCAAGAGTATTATAAATGAAGTCGTGCGGGTTAATTATTGGTAACATTTAATTATTTTTCAAATATTTCTTGTGCCTACTAAGGTCGGCAACATAAACTAAATTCTTACAGAAGCTTTGATCTAAAGTGAATCGAAACAAATTGAGAATAATGCAAATGGTTATTTTACTATAATTATGATATTTCATATATAAAAAATGAGAAGTATGGTGCTCAAGGAGAATGTTAGAGATTGCTTAAAATCTGAATGAGGAAGAAGCAATAAAATAAAGCTTAAGCTCCAGATTTTCCCTTTAGAATCTTTGAGGGTAATGGAAGATGTTACCTTTTATATCACTAAAAGAAAATTCATGACATCAGGAGAGTTTTAAAGATATTATTACTTACTTCAGGATAGGGCCCAATGAAGAGGGAAAGATTAAAAGAGTAGGAGAGAGGGAGGTAGTAAGTTGGAAAAGAGTGGAAAGGCCAGCCTTGAATGAATGGGAACCCATTCCACAGTGGATGCCGAAAATAAAATTAGAACCTCTGCAGATGTAGAGATGGTGGTATTTGGGGGACTAGGACTTAGCTCCCTGATACCTCTGTTTTTGCTTACCGTATGCTGAATGTTAAGAGTGATGTTGTTAAGTAGGAAACCTGAGAATAAAGACGGTTTTAACGTTTCACTGAGGGAAAGGGGACAAGGAACCGAGAAGACGTTAAATGATTGTTGAGTGGAATTTTGATGACATGAGTCTGGTTCTGTTGTACTTGAATTAGCTCCCAGTGAGACAAAGGAATAGTAACTGATGTTTCTTTTGTATATAGCTGTTCATTAGCTGTCTTCCATCACCTGTCTCCTGGATGCAACTGAATTGTACATTACCCAAGAAAAATAAGATGACAGAAAATGTTTCAAAATTTTGCATTTTACCTGTGAGTTAGTCTCTTCTATTTTGTCAATAATAAAGGAAGACGGTGTATGCTAATTTTGGATATATTTATCTGACAGTTATCCTCCATATATGATCAAAGATGAAAAATAGAAGGCAAGAAATTGTGGGAGCATGTGTCTGTACCCCAAGCAATCATTTTTTTTTAGCAAAATACCTATTCTAAATAAAAGGAGACCCTTGGAATTAAGAGCACAGAGGTAGAAATTCAGACGTTCTGCTACATTTCCTAACCCTTCCTTTCACAGTACTGTCCCTTGCTTTCAGAGGGCACTAAGAAATGAAAAGTATAAATGCAAAATCAAATTATAGTCAAGGGTATTACCCTGTGTGATATACAATAATGTGTCCCTTTGTAGCAAAGAAAATTCTGCTGTGTTTCTACTTTGCATATTGTTTAAGTAAATAATATAAGCTTACATACTTTATTAAAGGAAGATTATGCAACCATTTTTAAGAAACTTACATTGAAGGTAACCTTATGATTTATTGCCCAAACCAGAACACTTTTGAGCATGAAAGGAGGCACTGTAGATAGTTACATCAAGACATTGGGCATAAAATCAGAGGTGTCCTGAACAAGCCAAGATTACTCATGACCTCTTGGGTGAAATTGGGAACAGAAGGCCGAGAGGTAACTTGAGGGTTTTAGACAGTTGAGGGCTCTTGTGAATTCTCACAGTGGTATAAGGAATCACCCTAGCTATTGTCATTTTTTCTCTTTTAACTTAAATACAGTCATCTAACAAGAAAATAATAAAAAAAAAGTTTTGGATATAACAGATTTGGTTCATGAAGTAATTGTCCCTTTTTTAAGATAAAGGAAGCATACAATTCATTTTTATTCATTTATTTATTTTGTTACAGGTTTGGCAGCCTTGTAAATGTTTCAAGTGCTGAAACAGTGAAGTAGGCAATATTCAATGGAAATGAAATAATTGGAAAATCTGATGACTCCAGTAGTTAATATTTGTGGAAACAAACTAGATATGCCACATTTTTTATCCTAGGTAAATGCAAATTTATAGCTTATTATAACACATCAGGATATAAAAAGCATTCTATCAGTTGAAGCCATGCACAATCTCAGAATCAAAGGGAAAATTTTGATTGTTTTGTCTCAAAACATTAAAAACTATATTTCTGTTGATGATATATATATATGTGTATATATGTATATACATATATATACATGTATATGGGAATAAAAAATAGTGAAATTAATATTACTTAGTACATTATCATTTAAAATATTAGAAACATTGAGAATTAAAGTGGTTTATTTCATTTTTTAAGAATTGCATGAATAGTGGTACAACTTCTGACTAAACAGCTTGAACATCTTTCCCATGCCTTAGCAAACTGTCATACTCCTTTCTAAGTTGGGACCAGCTTTTAACATTTTATTCTTTGTGCTCTCACAGATATGAAATATTTTCTACAGTTCCTTTCACGTGAAGTTTTTTAGCTGGTATCACTTCTTTATCACAACTACTTTTCTTATTTATGCTAATAAATTTCTTGGATAAGTTTCTCTGAAATAATAGCAGTGTCAACATTTCTATGGTCAGCATTTGTACAGTGTGGTAAAATTTTGTAGTGCTTGCTCTGGAGTTTGCAATGTGTATATATAAGGCTCTGAGCATCTATTCTGACCCCAAAAAAGCTAGCTTTTCTGCCTTCTGAAAACCGTTGTTATTCACCACCAAAATCTTTAGAAACTAAATACTCACTAAACATTTCCTTTACCTTCTTGCTTTAATTGAAATCCACTTCTCCTTGTAGGTTTCCCACAGATATCCCAAGTGTTGTTGACTTTGTTTACCACATTCCATGTACTAGTGAACCCGAAGGTTCTCTTTTTTCTGCAATCATTTTCCAGATCATCTTTCCTCCCCCCACCCCCCGCCATCTCTAAAAATTTCTAATGCTGACTCTTGACATCAGACTACTACAACCATTACACAACACTGACTGTTTCAGTCATCTTCCAACTCGTGGTCACTTCCCTGATTCCTTAAAAATTTCAGCTCACTGTTAATCTCTCTAGCACTAACACTCTCCTAATATTTAGTGTTTTGTCTACATAGAGTCTATGTCATAGACCATCCTTCCAACATTCTAGACACTTAATTACTTGACATCCTGTGATCTTGTATGTTTTTTCTCACTTATTCTAATAACCCCTTTGGTCATAATCTAAAATTTATTATTGTCAATATCTGGAACCCCTCCATAATCTTAATTTGAAGAGACCCAGGCTCTAAATTCAGCCTCCTACATTTCCAAATCATTTTCTCCATTATTCTGACTCCACAATATGTTTGCTTCACCAGATCGTATTATCTAATGGCCCTTTATCCTTTTGTTACTTGCCTCCCTCATATTCTGGTCATAATCTAAAATTTATTATTGTCAATATCTGGAACCCCTCCATAATCTTAATTTGAAGAGACCCAGGCTCTAAATTCAGCCTCCTACATTTCCAAATCATTTTCTCCATTATTCTGACTCCACAATATGTTTGCTTCACCAGATCGTATTATCTAATGGCCCTTTATCCTTTTGTTACTTGCCTCCCTCATATTCTTTTGTTTTTAAATCTTTATTGTTCAGATTATTACAGATGTCCCTCTTTTTTCCCCCCATAGCTCCCCTCCACCCGGTTCCC